GAAGTAAATATGGATTTTTTCTATATGTAGTTGGATAATCACATACTACATCCTGAATGTGGGACATTTGATGAATATGCTCAATGTAGATGGACACAGCAATGTCCACTACCTTAAAGGCACTGGGTCTTTCCAGGGATTGGCACGTCTTTGCATGTTCAGCTGTTGACAACGGACTCAACACAAACAGTTTTCTTTGTTGATCCAATATTGACGTGGCACTAATAGCTGTGACAATAAGACTCAGAGGAGGAGCGACCAAGCAAGAGAAAAGCTACATAAAGGCCAGGGCCGACCCTCAACCACGGCCTCTCCTCGACCCAGTTTAGTTCAACAGCAAACGCCACTCTGTCGCTGTACATTACCCTCAGATGCTTGACCACTGCAGGCTAATTCCCTCAGGAAGTCCAGATTGGCGCTAAAGGCCCCCCTCTCAAACGCACATGCACAAACAAGCAATTTTCTAAAAGCAATCTAGAGCAATCTATAAAACCCCAGCTGACATTACAGAGAAGACAAAATGCACCACAGCAGCTACTCCACATGCCTAGTATGTTCCAGTATCTGGCTTTGTAGATGATTATCAGCATAATTTTGCTCTTGCAGAACAACAATATATGAATCAACCACACCAAGATATATATGCTTTTCTTCACAAGTCAATTTTAGTAACTGCAGTGTTTTCAAGAGTATGTTCAGTTTGGCTTATTTTGGTAACATAAGTCTGCAGGGACATGACAAATTCACAATTAGCAACATTTAGAGCGTTGTCATTCTAAGGATGGCATTTTCTGAGGAAGCGAGTCATAATTGTCAGGACATGACTTGCATTGATTACCATATATTTTTTTTTTCCTTTTTCCTTTCATTTTAACACTGATTGTATGTTTATGGGGACTAAATTTGCTTCTATAAATATAAAGGTTAAACCTTCTTTCCAAAGTCTGAGTATGTCAATTGAATTTAATATTTAAAGGATGACAAAGAGGTGGTTATCTTCTCTATTTCATCACCTTGCCAGTCAATTTGAATAGAAAAAGAACAGCAGTCTTCTGAGAAGCTAAAATGCATTATAACACACAAAGCATAACTAGGAGGCATTGAAGAATGAAATGGAGTGATTGCAACATTTGGAACAACTGCTAATATTTCAGGTAAATTTAAGCAAAACCTCCATAGTGTGTGTGTGTGTATAAAAATAATAATAAAAAAAAGATAGCTTAGGGCAAACTCAAAAGATAAAAAATTGAGGAAAAACTCAAATGACAGCAAATGTCGATGCAAATATGAAGTTTTATTTTGCCACAAGTGTGAGGCCAAAATTTTGCAATTCACTCAGAGAAAGTGAGTTTTCAGTCCAATACCAGCTTTTTATCTGCAAAGCAATTTCCTTCAATTTGATAGAAAAACACAATTTTTCTTATATTTCAGAAAAAAAAATACTTGATTTGTCTTATAAAAGAAGTGGACTAAGCAGAGTCTACCAACATGTATATGTCACATGTGCTTAATGTGGATTTTTTTAGCAGTGTACGAATGCCGTCTACACTGCAGCTTCACCGTGAGTTCAAACTCTGGGTCAACAATTAGCTGCGAAAGATCAAACGCAGCTGCAGCAAAAGCTCGATTAAAAGTTTAGAAGTAACAAAAACACTAACAATGAAACTGTGTTTTTTTAAGGTTTTATTGGCACTACAGGGTTTGATGTATTAGTAGCTTGACAGGAAGATGGGCAGAGAGAGAAGGGGAAGACATGCCGTACATGGCCCAGGGCCGGGAATCGACCCTGGAACAGCAGCGTCAATTACTGTAGCCCCACTGTGCCATGAGCCATTGGGGTCACCTCGTGACCCCAATAAAACTCTGTTATTGCTTCCCTTAGAGCAGCCTGCAATAGTTTTACCTCAAGTTGTACATATTAGTAATTTGCTTGTTTAGTCTATTACAGCAGTGACGCTAATCGTTCGCAATAAATATCAAATAAAGTTGTCGTTCTGGGAGCCAACCTTTTGGAGCATTTAAATGCGGTTGAAAGGTTGTGAGGATTATATAACATTATACTCCGATATGCATGTTTAATCAAGAATATGTTTATCTTTGCTCTTTTATTGTTTGTCAGGAGTTTATATGAGCAGCCAAGCTTTTAAGTTTCATTGAAATATTGTCAATCCACCAGCCAAACAGTTCAAGAACGTTCAAAGGGAGCACAATAACAACCTTAGTTGTATGTGATTATATAATTAGGGAAATATATTTCATTATTTTCTTAAGCAACTATACATCTGAAAGTTATATTACTAATTGTGACATTAATTAGTATCCTAATCAGTTTAAGTTACTCCTTCACTGCCAAATTAGATCCACGCATGTTATGTTCTATCATTTACACCAGTAACAATGACTCTAGAGACATGCCTGAAACCTGCCTATGTGACTTTAACTACAGTGTTATAGTTCCTGAGACACACCGATCTTCTCTAATGTACCAGCTGTGAAAAGTGTCTATATCAGTTATGCTGTAGGTGTCAAATGCAGCTAAGTATGTCATGCTGGTGTGATTAGCACTGATAAAAAAGAAAAAAAAAATGTTTGCAGACTGATTTACTGCTGTGACTACCAATGAGCTAAATAACAGAGAACCAGCCAGTACTGAATGTTGTTTTTATTTTTATTTTTTTTACCTTGTGTGTATTCTTGGAGACACAATGCCCAGTTGTAAATTTTAATATAACTTATGCAAATGCATGTATTACTAGTTAAAATGCATGTTTTCTTAAATGCCTCTCACTCCTTTTTTCATATTCCCATAACAATCCACTAAGTAATATAAAACTCAGCCAATTCTTGATGGTTTATTTTTGTTTTTCAGACTTTGTTTTCCATAATTTAGATCAGATTTTCTGCAATGAAAAGCTTTCTTGAAAAGCTGTACTTTGCGTACGCCCATGATAGCCTGCCAACCCATTCAACACATTGGCTCTTTTTAGGTTAGCAGAAACAATGACACTAGTTTTAGCAACTAAAATCAGGAGCTGGGACAGTTCTCTGAAACAAAGATACCCATTCTGCTTCTTAGCCTGTTGGTTAGCTCTGTGGCTCTAAAATAGGCTACACATGTGCAACAGAAATTAAAGGAAAAAAAAAAATCACAACTTCTTTTTCCCTTTAACAGACAAAACGTCATCAATACAAACATTGCTTCACTATAACCACATTCCTCTTTTTTGATGCAAACAGAATCTGAGCTATGAAAGGTGAGGACAGAGAAAAGCTCTCAAGATCGCAGACACCAGAATCTTCTTAGTGCTCTCATCGGCTGTAGATATTATCTGGGTGCAAGGCTATTAAGGCTTTCTAATGTTAACAAAAGACAGGATCTTATCAGACCAGTAGAAGTGACACAGAATGCATTAACATTTATACTGCTCTCCTCTGCTTGGATGACATCACTGAAGTGCCTGCTCTCTTCCTTTGCTCCAGAATGCAGTTCAGTCCTCTGACCATTGACCCCTTACTGTGTGAACTGCTGCAGAACAAATTAATGGCCAAACAACCCCCCTTTGCATCTTTTGCATAAGGAAGTACACTTGCTTTAAGGAGTAGCAGATATTATCCTAGTTCCTTGAGTTTCCTTGCATTAATGAGCATGCAGTAAGTTTAGATAAAAGACTGTTTCGCTGCTTTTAAGAGAGATTAATATTACCAAACTATTATAAAGGAAAATATGGATTGAGAAAGCCTGAATTTGTTTGCTCTTTTAACAATAGTCAAGACAGTAATTAATGCAATCTGAAAATAACAACAGAAGATGATTGCGATTTGCTCAACAAAATTATTTGTTTGCATGTTAGACTGCTTTTGGTGTTTCCCTCAAATGAACCTAAATGTGGATCTTACTCCCTCTAGTGGTGCATATGTCGCCTAAAGAGACGCAACACACAATTTATTCTTTACAGAACTTCTAAACTAAAACGAATTCAACATGATAATATCTTATCTATGTTAGCTTCTGTACTTAGCAAGCTTTTCAATTTTATATAAAATATTTCATAACATTATGTCATATTCTGATTATTATGTTATACTGCAACATAATAATCATGCTATGTAATACAATCTTATGTTATAAAATAAAATACCATGATCATCATGTTATTTATATGTACATATAATATTTATGTAATGTGTTAAGAGTGTTAGAGATTCACTGATGAGTCAACCTTTGATTAGGATCAGCTCATTTACAGATCAAAACTCAAACATACGTTAGCATGGCAGGTAGGTGAAGGCAACATAATGCAGAGCAAACAAGTCATACCAACAGCAGCACTGTTTAGTGTCAAAGTTGTTACTGAATGAAGGATAGCTCTAAAAGAAAGACAAAGTTTGCTATTTTCAGAAAAACTGTGTTTCAAAATGATGTCAATGGTTTAATTAGCTGTAAAAATAAACTATTTCCTACAGACATGTTTGTTAATCATTTAGGGTAATACTTGTAAGCAAAGAGGAAGGCAGAGTGTGAGGAAAGCATAATGTGTTACAGAAAGATTGCCTTGTTCAGATTGCTCTGAGCCTTCCACTTGTATCTGTCGTGGATTATCCTGGATTTGTAAATGTTGGCAGCCTATTGAAAAGCTCAGAGTTAAAATAGGGTTTAAATTATCTGGAGAATGGAGTTTAATAAATATGATTTGCTTCAGGGAGCTTAAACTTGCATAATGCTTTTGTCTTTGCTTGAAAAAAATAAAACAGATTTGAAACGACTCCATTCTCTCACACATGAGGTGTTCCCTCTGATTCCAATATAAATAATTTATGACTGCCCATGACACCAAAGGTAAAAAAAAAAATATATATATATTTTGAACATTGTGAGTAGTAGGACCTGGACTGGCCAACAATCTGTAAAAGCAGGTCAGAGCTTTAACAGAATTTGGCTACAAATGTCTGATCAGTGCATTTTTAATGGTTAGGTGAAAAAAGAAAAGCTAGAAGCTTACCGTCATTACAAAGTGGTCCTCCGAATGTTGTCATGCTGCAGTCACAGCTGAAGCCCTCCCACTGCTGAAGGCACACACCTTGGTTGGCACACGAGTCCTCTTGGCATGTAGTGCTGGGGCCTGAATTGAAAACAAAATCACAGCTTAGTGAAAATAAGACTGGATTCAAACTAAAAACAATATGTAATGTCACAAGTATGGATAAAAGTCACACACAATTAGCTGTGTGCAGAGTCACATTTTTAGTAATTACTGCTGCCATTACTGTTAACAATGTCCATTTTTACCAAACTCAGATTTAGTTAGTTAAAAAGTAGATACAGCAAACATAAAGCCAAAATATGCATAAAAAATTTGTAGAAAATAGCTAAAAACATTAAGCCTTTAGGTTTGAACACTCATTCGTGGTTTAAACATTTCAATTGCATTTGTACAGTTATCTATGGTAAGTGTTTTTATTTATTAGCATTGATTCAGTTTCAGTTAAAAGTGCGCCAATTGTTTTAATATATTGTGTTTTTTTTTTTTTTTTTACTGTTTATACTCGACACAAGATTCATAAATTAGTAACTGTATAACACCATATCCAGCATATCCTGCCAGAGACATAGACCAGTCTATACATTCAAAACAACTCATAGATAAAATAACTAATAGTGATAACATGGTCACAATATTCTGCTGAGAAGGCTGAGTCCTGGCATGTTACACGCTCCAAAGTCTACTTAACCCGGATGATGAAAAAAACATCTACTGTAAATCCAAACAGATTCTGTATTAGTCCTCAGATAATTTCACACGTCATTAAATATTTCAAATAGTGGTGGGATAGTGAATGTATCAAATATATATTTGATTTAAATGTATGGTAAATACATTTTAGCACTTTTAGATGATCTAATATCAAAAAGCATCTTAGTGGGTTATTGTTTATATACTTTGAACGTTAGAAAATGCTACAAAAGATGACAAGAATGGATGGTTGGCAATAATATGCTTAATGTACTCTGTAAAAGTAACAATTTTGCAATTTGTAACCAACAAAAAATATATATTTTAAAAACCCATGCAATATAAAACTGCTTGGTTCAAAGTAATGTGAGGCATGCAAATACATAAGCAAATAAATAAATGAATTAAAAAAAAATAAAAAATAAAAAACTCTTACAAATGTTCAGATACTTGGAATAGGACTGCAAAACAAAACATCAGTCCCATAGAATTTTATACAAGGTTCTTGTATTTCAATGAAACTGATGCCATTCTTGATGCCAGTGAGTGAATGGTACACAAAGCAGTCCTCTTGTGAGAAATTTGGTTGGTAAAAAACTGTGGGAAGGTAGTGGTGTTTGTATTTCAGTGTGTGCGTGTGTGTGTGTGTGTGTATTGGGGTGTGGGGGGTTGTTATTTCAGATGCATTTGGGGGGAGAGGGGAGGATATCAAATGCCATTAGTAGACAAAGCTTTCTACCTTGCAAGTCAGCTTTCGTCAAAGCAACTTTTGTTGGCAAAATAATAGGAAAAGAAAAGGCAAAGTATACAAGCAGTTAGTAAGAAGCACAAAGTTTGGAAAAAGAGGGGAAAATATAGATTGTGAGGCAGCATTGCATCATAATTTCACCATCACAATTAATGTTTTAACTCTACTTCAAGCAATCATTGATTCAGTGTGGTACAATTTGATAATGGCTAGTTTGACACGCCTTCACAAGAGCTGAATGCGATTACGTTCGTCACGCTGGAACATGATAAAAGATCAGAAGTACTTAGCGGTAACGAGTGGGTGAAAAGAGAAAGTAAACTAACCGACTGAAGTCGTAGAAAGAAAATCAAATATTGTCTCTGGATATGGTGCACACATTAGACTGGGAAAATGTTATTCATACATGCAACAAAGGCTTCATCCATTATTCAAAAGGATCGCTTCAGGCCAAATATCTCAGATCCAGCAAGCATGCATAGTGTACAACAGAATAGGGATAAAATGGGAAGTAACAGTGGCAGTACAAATATGGTGAGAAGAATAATCAGATTAAAACCAAGTGAAACAGAAATGATCGCCTCTGGAAGAGTGTCGGAGGTTGATTCATTCAAACAGAATACTAACATGCTTTATAGATGTTAAATTACACGCCACAAGTTACCAGTGTCTCTTTCTTTGTGGCTGTGCTTCAGAATGAGTGCTGCCTGAAGATATGTATGCGACTTGCAGGATTATGCAGCATTACATAGTGTTACACCTGATGATATTTTGGAGAACATTAATAAACTATTCTAGATGAGTTAAAGGGATTTGCTCTCTTGTGTTATTCGTTTTAAGTGAAACATAAGCATTGTTTCATCTATTTATACTCAACCAATAAAGGTTAAAAACCTCTACAAAGACAATAAACTAAAAGATACTTCCATCAGGATCTGGCTCATCATTTGTGGCCTCTCACCTTCACATCCTCTCTCTATCTGTCCCACACAGTCCAGAGCATCTGACATCAAGTCTGGGAGGCGTCCGTTCAGGTCCACCGACGCCAGGCAACCCTGGAAACCCTCCTTGGCATGCACCAGTTTGGGCAGGTCCTTATACATCTCCTTAGCCACCCCACCAATGTAAAGGTTTCCTGTAAAGAAATCAGAAATGGAACAATGCTGACCCCTGGTGGAAATAAAGTAGAATGCAGAACTTTCCTTGTCTATTTTTTTGCAACAAGCTATTGTGCTTTTCATAGTCAGATAAAAGACAAGAAAAGCTTAATAATCGTCAACATTCCCTAAAAAAAAACAAAAAACATTTCAAATGTTTATGAAGTAAATGTCCAATGTTATTTATGAGTGTAAGCCATATATTCGGCAACCGCTTTATCTTGCCTCATCATTATGAATATCCTTCCAGGTAGAACACCAATTACCCAAAACAATTTGCTTTCAATAACAGCAGCTTTCATGCCAACAATAAGTAACTCTTTTCAAATAAATGTTATCCAAGGCTGTTAGTCTGAGCACTGTGAGCTCGCTGCAACATTTCCACATTGTTAGTTGTGACAAAAGACCAGATGAATTCTTTCTCAAGGCTACCTGAGACCCAGTAATGAGCAGAAACTTTTTTTGTGCCTTTCACCCCTGCAGCGTTTTTCCAACCTGTTATGCATTTCAATCACAAACTTGCTTTTCTCACATTAAATCACCGGTTCCTCAGCTAAAAAAATAGTTACACCTTAATAGCACCATTTCCGTTTGCAACCAATGACTAAGCCACATTAAAAATCACTTTCGTCACCATTGTGAATCTTTGGTTGAACTTCAGCAACTTGTTTTCACCACATCTAAAAACCAAAGTCCCTGCCTGTAATTTGACTGATTTGTCATTTGTGTTAATGAGCATTTGGACACATTCACCTTTAACATGTCCGGTAAGGGTATACAAATTCTGAACTAACCCTTCAGGTCAAGGTTCTTGGCTCCTGAGGTTGTCTGTGTCGTAACCTTGGTGTCAATCTTGACTGTGTGCAGATTGTTGGTGTCCCTGGAGATGATGACATTGTGCCACTGGTTGTCACTTAGGGGTTTATTTGAGTTGCCTTTGATGAGGTGGGCTCCATTCCCCAGGTCAGACACATAGTGGAGATAACTGGAAACAGATACAGAACAGCATGAAGAAACATGAGCATACTGGAAGAATACAAATTCCTAATATTACCTAAGTATTGGCAAACTGTTTTGGAATTTGATATATTCACATTTCTTTAAGAGATAAAATCTTATGATTATTAGTATTATTGCTTTGTAACTGTTTGAGGTTTTACATTACTGAGTAAAAATGTACAACAAAAATCTGAAAAATCTATTGGAAGTGTGTGTATGAGTGTGTGAAGCTCTCTTAAAAGCGCCTTATTTCTGACATTAAAGTAACACCAGACCAGGCTAACTTTACACGCAGGTTGAGCTGTGTAATTAAATTGCATGACTTTATTTGTTGATGTCACTGGATAGTCAAAAAATAGGGGAAATTGCTAAAAATAAGAAAATTTGGCATTTCGGCAAGGACAAATACACTTCTGTGAAGCTTTTTATCTTTCACATTGTTTATTTCTCATCCCTTTGTTTAGATTAGACAGCATGGTAACAGCCGGCTGCCTTCTGGTAAAAACTCCAGCACAGAGATGATAAGAGACAAAATGTTCATATGTAGTTTTTTTTTTTTTTTTTTTTTTTTTTTTTGTATTAAAATCCCTTTTTAGTGCATATCCTGTTTTTTAATCAGATA